AAATGGTTCTTCCACGTGCACATCATGGAAATGTTGGCCCTAAACTCACACATCTGCCTTGGGAGGACGAGGATTTGGGATTTTCCTTGGGGGACGATGTTGGAAAAGCAACATTTGTGCAGGGCTGGGGGGTCCCTGGAATGGAATGGGAATGATGGGAATCCCTGCTCCCAGGAATTGTGGGAATAGGAGTGCACGGCAAAGCCCAGGATCCCTGCATTCAGCTTTGAGGGGAAATAATCGGTGTGTAGGGAGGTGCTGGTGTGATTTCCCATCCAAATTCTGGGAATTAGGGAGGAAGGGGAGGAAGCAGGCAGGGGAATGAGGGATCCATAGTAAACACACCACGAGTGGGATTCCATCAGCAGCCGAAACCAAGGAACGAGTTATTTTCAGCTCCTTCCCGGTGGCAAATGGCTTTTTATTGTCTGCAGAGGCTCTGAGCACTGCGGGATCTGCCTGGAGCGTGGGGAAGGCGCTGGGGCTGCGAGCACAGCGCGGATTTGGGGAATTATTTGGGGAATTATTTGGGAAATTTGGGGAATTTTTTTGGGAATTATTTGGGGATTTATTTGGGGAATTTGGCTGGGTGGCTTCACCTGCTGGGAGAGGAGGAGGGGCTGGCGATGCCCTGAGTCGCTCAGGAGCTTGGAGGGAACTCCCTGCCCAGTTTAGGGACAGCTGGGAGGGAATCTCAGACTGGTTTGGGTGGGAAGGGACCTTCAATCCCATCCCATTGCACCCCAGGAGGGCAGGGACACCTCCCACCATCCCAGGATGCTCCAACCCCAATGTCCAACCTGGCCCTAGGCACTGCCAGGGCTCCGGGGCAGCCCCAGCTGTGCCCGTGTGTCCATGGGCTGGGACATCTCCTCATCTCCTGCTCCTCAGGAGCCTCCTGGCACCCTCCGGGAGCCTCTGGAGCCCAGGAAGGTCCCTCTGGAATGGCAGCTGGGCACCCTGACTGCGGAATTTCTTCACCTGGATGTTGGCAGGGGGTGCCCAGGGCAGCGGACGTGGCACTCGGTGCCCTGGGATGGGGATTTGGCGCAGTTCGGGCTCGGATTCTGCGGTTCTGTGAGATTAAAACCCCGCAGCACTGAGGGAGGTGGGGCCAGGAGAGGAATTTCCCATGGAGCATCCAGGGAAGCAGAGCTGCCCTTGGATACCTCGGGATTCCCGGGACAATGGGAGGTGTCCCTGGCGTGGCAGGGGTGACACTGGCTGGAATTTCAGCTCCATCGGGATCCCTGCATTTAAAGGGCATCAAACCAGACCTAAACCCTGCACCAGCGAGGTGCTGAGCTGCGAGCAGCCCCGAGGCTGATGAGTTTTTCCCTCGGCGGTGCCAGAATTCAGGAATTGGGGTGGCTCGGTGCTGATGCTGTGTCTCCTCTGCCCCGCAGTGGTTGAACCAGAGCCACAACGCGTGTGTGAACTATGCAAACCGCAACGCGAGCAAGGTGAGCTCGGCCACCAATGTCCCCGAGAAACACAAACCCCGGCCCCGGAGCCCCTGCAGTGGCCACTGGCATCGCCAGGTTGGCCACTGGCCCGTGCTGGAGCTCAGTGTCACCGGCACGAGGGTCTGGGAATGGCTCGAGGGACAGCAATGAGGAGCTGTCCCTGGTCCTAACTGGGCTGGAATGGTTGAACTGGGATCTAAAAGGGCTCAGAGCAGAGCGGTGCAGGAGGGAGATCCAGGATCCCATCACCCAGGATCCCCAGGGTCCCATCCCCCAGGATCCCATCCCCCAGGATCCCATCACCCAGGATCCCATCACCCAGGGTCCCTGGGAATGTCCCTGGGATGTCCCTGAGAATTCTCCTGGGATATTCTTGGAACTTTCCTGGAATGTGCTGGAAATGTCCCTGGGAGTGTCCCTGGGAATGTTCCTGGAATGTGCTGGGAATGTTCTTGGGATATTCTGGGAATTTTCCTGGAGTGTGCTGGGAATGTTCCTGAGAAGGTTCCTGGGAATGTTCTTGGGAATGTCCCTGGGATATTCTGGGAATTTTCCTGGGAATGTCCCTGGGAATGTGATGGGGCTGTTCCTGGGATGTGCCGGGAGTGTCCCTGAGAATATCCCTGGGATATTCTGGGAATTTTCCTGGGACATGCTGGAAATGTCCCTGGGAATGTCCCTGGGATGTGCCTGGAGTGTCCCTGGGATATTCTGGGAATGTTCCTGGGACGTGCTGGGGCTGTCCTTTGGATTTTCTGGGGCTGTCCCTGCTCCCTTCCTCTCCTCAGCCTCCATTGATCCCGTGCTGGGATGTGGGAAGCCGATCTGGAATCCATCCAGCTCTTTGAGAGAACATTTCCCAGACAAAATATTGACTGTGGCGACTTTGGGGTTCAGCTCTCGAGGGCAGAAATGCTAATTTGCTTCCATTTGCTGAATTTCACTCCCATCCATCCTTTGAGCTGCTATTATGATAATTTTCTGATGCCAATTAATTTTCCATTCCCTGTAACCTTGCTCAGGAGGCCACGATTTCCTCGCTTTTGCCTCTTGGGATGACAGCCCATGTGTCACAGAACAATATGACAAAATTAAACCTGTCTCTGCTTCGAAACAAATACACCAAAACCAAAACAAACAAACAACAACCAAAAAAAAAAAAAAAAGGAAGGGAGGAGGGGAGGGGGGAAGAGAAATGGGTTGAATATTAACAACCAGAAGTTTGTTTATTAAAAATGTGTTTTGTTTTTTCTTTCCAAAGCCTTCTCCAACGTCCAAGTTCATCCAGGGCTACTTGGGAGCTGTCATAAGTGCTGTGTCGATAGCAGTGGGTAACTCTTTATTTCTCTGCATTCCATGCCTCAGGAGATGCCTGGGGGATGAGTTTTTTTGGGGGTTGCCCAGCACTTTTCCAGCTTTTCATTGGCTCAGCTCTGTCGGGATGAGCAGCAAATGGCTTGGGAGCTTGTGCATTAATGGCTCATTGATTAATTCATTCATTCATTCATTAGAGACCTCCAGGCTGCAGGGCCCTGGGGTGGGAGGAGAGGAGAGTTCTGGAATGTTCTCCTGGGGGTGGAATTGCACCCTGTGCATGTGTTTGAAG